TCTTCCTCCTCCTCCTCCTCCTCCTCCTCCTCCTCTTCATCTTCTTCCTCCTCCTCCTCCTCCTCACCCTCCTCTAATGTTAACGCGCCATGTGGCAGATTTTTTTTATTTTTTTTATTTTTGGTTCGGCTATTCCAACGCAGTTGTTCTTCCCTCCTCCTCATCCTCCTCCTCTTCCTATTCCTCCTCCTCCTATCCCTCGTCATCTTCTTCCTCCTCCTCCTCCTCCTCCTCCTCTTCTTCCTCCTCCTCCTCCTCCTCACCCTCCTCTAATGTTAACGCGCCACGTGGCATAATTTTTTATTTTTATTTTTTTTGGTTCGGCTACTCTAACGCAATTATTCTTCCCTCCTCCTAATCCTCCTCCTCTTCCTCCTAATCCTCCTCTTCCTCCTCCTCCTCCTCCTCCTCCTCATCTTCTATTTGCTGTGTGTTTTGCCGGCGTCATGCAGGGCAGGATGTCAGCCAAGCATCTCACAGACCAGATGAAGCTGCACTTCATCGTGGAGGGCGTGGCGGGGACATATGCATTCAAGGGATCGAAGCGGTGGATGTGCAAGTACTGCGAGCACCGTTTCAGTGGGACTCCGACGAAACTCTCGAAACACTTCCTCGAAAAGTGCAGCCTTGACTATTGCACGACGAAAATGTCGGTGGAGGAGAGGGCGAGGAGGGAAGAGGGGATAAGGCAGGGGAAGTGGCTTGCTCGCGTGCTGTTGCACGGAGAGGCATCAGGGTCCGGCCCCAGCAATTCACAGACCGCCGCTGAAAACGTCCCTCAGGTTCGTAGCTCACAAGTGGGTGCAGCGGGCATCGTCGACGAAACACCCACGCCTCAATCGACTGCAGGCACAATTCATGGATCGAAGGCATCGAAGCCAGTTCCTAAGGGACCTTTACGACAGACATTGATCGAGGAGGCCGACAGTGTTATCACGCACAACGAGCGGACGAGTCGGTTTCTCGACAGGTTTCTGATCTGCACAAACCAACCGTTCAGTTTGGTGGAGGATGAGTGCTTCCTGGAGTTCATTGACGCGGTGAAGAAGGCCCATCCGACGTGGATGCCGTGCAGAAGGGATGAGCAAAGGACGAAACGGCTGGACGCTGACTACTCGTGGGTTGGGGCGGAGGTGCGTTCGCTGATCCCGAAGTGAAAGAAGTCCGGGTGTTTGCTGCAGATGGACGGGTGGTCCGGTCGCCGAAACAAGCCCCATCTGAATGTCATGGTGTCCTCGCTAGTTGGTACGGTCTTTTGGAAGTTAGTGTGCATGGAGGGCAAGGAGAAGGACGCTGAAGCGTACTTCGGTGTCTTGGATTGGGTCATCAAAGAGATCAGAGCGGACGCAGTCGTTGGTGTCGTCATGGACAACGCAAGGGTGTGCGTCAAGGCAGGGAAGATGGTGGAGGCCGCCTATCCGAACATCTTTCGCGTCGGATGCACTACGCATGCGCTCGATCTTGCGCTGGAGGACATGTATAAGCACATGCCTTGGATGGCGGAGGTGGTTGATGCCGGRAACAAGGTCGGCAAGTTTTTCACGAATGTGGACAAGGCGAGGGCCATGTTCCACAACTACTCACCGAAGACGAAGTTGAAGCGCCCTGCGRCAACCAGATTTGCCACCAACTTCACGATGCTCGGGTCTTTGAAGGAAMTGAAGAATGCACTGGATCGCTGCGTTTGCGATGTGGGATGGGTGGAGAAGATGGTACGGGCAGAGCAGTTAGTGGYGTTCAACGAGGTGAYGACCATCATTCTWGACAAGGGCGAGTTTTGGARCAACCTCAACAMGGCGCTCGATGTGATGCAGCCCGTRGTGGAGCTGCTTCGGCTGGTGGATGGACAAGGACCGACCATTTCGAAGGTGTACTTCAAAATGGATCGGGTTGTTCAGCGCATGCGTGCCCTCGAGTGCCTCTCAAGTGACGAGCACGAGGCGGTGGAGCGCATCCTCATGGACCGCTGGTCATTCATGACCAGCGAGCAGCATTGCGCTGCAGCCTTCCTGGATCCTGAGCACCGAATGCAGAACGCGCAGCACCTGTCTCTTATACACATCTAGATGTGTATAAGAGACAGGCGCAGCACGACCCGGAGGTTCGCTCAGGATATAACATCTGGCTATACTCCTGGATGCCACGAGATAAGCTCAAGGAAGTGAGCTTCCAGGTTGACCAGTGGGTCAACGCTTTAGGAGGGTTCTCCACAGAGTAGGTGCGCGAGCAAGCCAGCCAGCASCCACCAGCTTTGTGGTGGGAGGCTTTTGGCTCCAAACACGACCTCCTTGCACCGCAAGCCATCAAATTGCTTGGCCAGGCAAGCTCCTCCGCTGCTTGTGAGCGGAACTGGAGCTTGCATGAGCTCATCTACGRGAGAAGGCGCACGAAGCTCATGCCRGAGAGGATGRCCAAGCTYGTGTACAACAGTTGGAATGTCCGCCTTCTGAAGAGCATTCGGCGCGGCGGGGGGGATGAAATCCACATCCCATGGGCGGATGACGGCCCGGTGGACAAGGAGATCGAGTGGTACGCAGATTGTCTGAAGCGTGTCCACGGAGAGGTGGAATAAGAAGAGGTGGTTGGGGCGGACGTCGAAGACGAGGAAGACAAGTTTCCACTGCGGCGCACCTTCCAGTGCAACGACGAGGTTGACGAGAGGCTGTGTGAGGAGGACTCTGTTCTCATCAGTACACGGGAGCGCGATTGGCACGAGTGCACGAAGCCTGGGAAATACCGTGAGCGTGAGTTGCGCAGGAGATCAGGCAGCAAGCTGCCTGTGCCTCAGGAGTTGTATACGAAGGAGGGCTACGCTCTTGCATTGGCAGCTCAACGAGCGGGCACATGGGTGGAGGGTCGAGAGGAGGGACCACGGAGGTGGCGCACAAACAAGGGCAAAGAGAAGGTTGATGACAACGCGCCCGTGCAGTGTGGCAAAAGGAAGGTTGTCGAGCAACAACAGCCACGACCGAAGAGGGGTCGTCCCACATTGGCGGAGCAGGCAGCACGCAGGGCACGAAAGGCGGAAGAGAAGGCCGCGAAGGCAGCAGCTGACGCTGCCGCAGCAAAAGCTGCTGCGGTCAAAGCCGTTGCGGCCAAAGCCCGAGCAGCGACGAAAGCCGCCGCGAAGAACGCTGCCGCTGGGAAGACGAAGAGAGCCGCCATCATAAATGATGACGACGATGACGATATCCCGAAAGAAATCCGGGGAGACGAAGATCTCGAAGGCTCAACATCGACTTCTTCCAGCTCAAGTGACACATCTGATTCCGGTGGGGGGGAGGGAACGAAGGAGAGTGACGAGGAAGAAGGCGGTGAGTGTGAGGTGCAGCCGGAGGAGAGCGAGGAGGAAGGGGAACAGGCGGTGTAGGGTGCACCCACTGTGCTGTTTTGGCAGACAAACTCAAGTTACTAAGCAATTCGAATTTTGAACTTGTGGATCTTTTCTCTATACCACTAAAGGAAACAGCGGTCCTCGCGTGGGGCCCAACAGAAACCGGCCGCCGCCGCGCCGGACCGTTGTCGGGCAGTGGGCAAGGGGGAACCAACGGCGCGCTGTCGGCGCCAATACCCTTACAAGGGTATCCGCCCTGGTTTTTGCAGATGACAGGGAACAATGAGTTTGGTCGAAATAAGCCGTGCGAGGCACGATCGCGTCCGAGACCCGCCTTGGTTAAGTTAGGAGGGTATGTGGGCGCGCAGCTTTAAGGCGCGCGTGTGATTTTTCTGATTGAGTGAGCGGCCGATCTAGTCGACCGACCTGGACCATGCTACGGTTTTGTTTAGGGGATGAAGGCTCGTTTTTGGTTGGCATGCGTGATGGACGGTAGGATTGGCACGCCGGTAGGCGCACGGGGCGGCCACGGTGCGGTCTAAGTAGGCTGGCGGGGGTGCCTGGTGTTGGCACGCCGGCCGCGGGTAGGAAAGGAAGGCCTAGGCGGATGTTTCTAGGCCTAGGGACGGCGCGGGACCACTTCATATGGAAATTCGCGCTCCATGGTACCAGGCTTGGGCTTAGCCATATTGGTTACAGCATTGGATTTTCACTACAGAGGTACCGGGATCGAGGCCAGCGGGCATCGGCGCGGCAGCAGCAAAGCGTTGTGAAGAAAACTGAGAGGGTTGAGGGCCCGATGGGGCTATCCCCCCTCACTTTTGATAATAGGGGCAGTGACGGGCCGGCCCACGGGACCGGTGGGGTTTTTATTTATTTCTCTAGTTTAGTTTAACTCTGTTTTCTATCTTATTTTCACTTATTTTCATTATTATTTGGGGGGCCGTTTCGGTTGAGGCGCGGCACCACGGCTGCGGTCTCAAGTTTGGAAAGCCGCGAGTGAGATACTACCGCGGCTACGTCCTTTGGGACATCCGTTAAAATTGGGACAATACAGGGAAGACCAGCATGTGCCCCTACACGCGGATGAAATGCATAAAGCGGAGGGAGTGGGTCGGCTGCTGTTGAGTAGTACCCCAGCCAGAGCAAACCAGAGCGAAGTGAGCTCGGCGCATATATAGCGGAGTGAGCTCGACGCAGATATTGCATCGGCAGCAGACCACGAGGTAGGGGGCGCAGTGAAGGAAGGGGAGAACGAGTCGAATGAACCTGGGCGACGAATCGCGCCAGGTGCATTCAACGAAGGTGGTGGTGGATTGGCAAAGAGGCAGACCGTGTCGGGTTAGCGCAGGACAAACGCGGTGCAGCGAAGCAGCAGACTGTGGGGCGACGGTCGGGCCGGGCATAGCAGCGAAAGCGGGGACCGAGGAAGGAATGGGCCGGGACACGAAACTGCGCTCGGTGCATGYGCAGTGGAAAGGGAATCGGGTGGAGCGAAGGGGGGGGGTAAGAGAGAGACGCTCACCTCGCCTGATTCTTGGCCAAATCAGACGAGGGGTTATGCGATTCTAGCATTTCGGAGGYGGGCGAATCCGTTGGCGTGGTCGGATCTTGCGGAGAGATGGCGGATTTGGTGCTAGGAGAGGTGCTGGCCGCGCGGAGGTAGCGTGATGGCAGCTATGGCGGAGGTAAGAACAGTGTAACTCGCCCATTTCTTACTGGAATCGGGCGGGCCAAAGTGCTGGATGGGGGTTTTAGGGCCAGGCGAGCATGATCAGGTGGTTAGTTTGAGTGAMGAATTAGAGGGAGAAGAGGTTAGTAAAGAAATGGYTGYGCTGAGCTATGGCGAACAGACACATGGTGAAGGGAGAGGATTGAAATCTCTCTCGATTCTAGGAGGAATCGCGTGAGAGAGAACTGTAAGTTGGGGTTTTGGGGTGTTGCGATCGCGGGGGTAGCGTTAGTCTTGGTAGTAGGYGAGTAAGARGGAAGTTAGTCGGGAAATGGGYTGCGCCTAGAAGGGGGRGACTGCTTGTAAATGTATAATGAATACTTCCGCCTTTTAGCGRAAGATTCATTTGATTCGTTCCAGCCATTTTCGTGGGGAACGGATACTGCAGGCAGGCAGCAAGAGTGGAGACTTACCCCTTTACCGAGTGCGYTGATCCTGCTGTTAGCGGGAAAGCTCGCTCCCTCTACCCTGCGCATGTGTACGAGAGGTTGTGCATCTGACTGAATTCCTGCGGAAGATCCAGGTGGTCGTGCTCGACACTCCTATAGACGCTACGTGAGGGGTACGGGCGGGACTGGAGGCTTACCTGGTGGGCGGCAGCTTGGTCCGGGGTGTCTGTGCCGCCTGGAGGCAGCGGCGAACGCTTGTCGGAGTGATCCCCTGGCTYAGTGGGCAGCGGTCCGCGGGATCCGAACGAGGTGTGAGCTGGTCATGTGTTTTGCTGCTCCGCTGACCGTGCCTGCCGCGGTTGCCGCGCATGCACCAGTGACTGGTTGCCTGCTGCTATTGCCCCTGTCACTGGCTGTGCTGCTCCATTTCTGAGTTGGTCGTGGCCCGTCAGGAGGGAGGGGGCAGCGATTGTGCTTGTTGCGCACGGTCGTTTGGGCTTGGGCTGTTCGAGGTGGTGTGCAGCTACGGGGCCTTCCGTGCCACGCACAAATGCTGAACGTGCTGGTGCATTAGCGTTCACTGCCATTGCCACCGTATTCGGGCTCTAGGTGATTACAGCAAGGTGCTGGATATAATTACTAAGCATAGCTATTGGGTACCAATGCTGGGTGAACTGGTTTAGCCATCGAAGAATAACCTTTCAAGTTGTGTAGCGGCGGACCGGTCGAAAGCCACAGCGAGGGAGAAAGGGGGGAGGGGGTGTACTCAATGGAACACAGTTGAACTAGGCTGCGTAGTGAGAGCTTGGATCAGGGAGGCGGCGTCGCGACTTGAGAAAAGGGGGGGGGGGGGTATTGCCGTGAACAAGGAGGTCGCCAGGAAGTTAGCAACTAGTGGTGGATGTCAGTTGACCCGCGACCTCGTGTTTTGGCTACCATTGCGGGGCCCTCAGGCGCTGAAGGTATCAAGGCCCTCTCTAGCGAGCGTGAGCGCACCTCTCTTGGATCTGAGAGACTAAACTATTCTACTTCTGCCCCTCTTCCTCTAAGTCTAGTCTATCGGTTCTGAGAGGAAGGCGGCAGGTGGGATTGCAACCCGTAATCCGCGCCAAGGCCTCTGTGGGAGGTTCGCCCCACCGATTGCGGGAGCTCTGCCGGAGCCTAGGCGAGGCTCTGGAGGCAGGGAATTGAAAGGTAACCATTGCTTCCCCTGTATATACCCTGATATAACAGTGCATTTTTTGCCCCCAAAACACACAAAAATTAACGAGGGCCGTACGATTATGGGCATGACATAGTACGCCATCATTGCGAGTGCTTGCGTACGTCTGCATTGCGAGTCGATATGAGTTAGCCCTGCGTCCGCGCGGTTTTATACTAAGCCTCGCGCGTGACGCCTATCCGATTTCCGCATTGGAAAGTTATGGGTTGGCTACCGAGGGACGAGGAGCGTTGTCACGTTGTTTGTGTTGTGTCGTTTGTGCAATGTGTGTGTGCGCGAATGTTTTGTTTTTGTGTTCGTAGAGTGGTGTGCGCGTGGTGTATGGGATGCGTCCTAGTCAACCGACAACGAGCCGCGCTTGGGACTTCAGCCCCCCCCACATGTCGGTTCGCGTGCGGGTCCGATAGGCGTATTACCGCGCGTACCCCCTATGCTACAGCGAACGAGAAACGCCCTCGGCTGGTCCACCTCTGCGATTGCAACCGAGTAGCTTTCGTACTGTGGACTGGTAGCTCGGCAGGGATACGCCCACCGAAGGGAGGTGACATCTCCCGTAAGGTGGAGGTAAGTTGTGCCTCGCGTAGGCCCTATCCTGTCGTAGGGGCTCGCGAGAGGTATNCACCGAAGGGAGGTGACATCTCCCGTAAGGTGGAGGTAAGTTGTGCCTCGCGTAGGCCCTATCCTGTCGTAGGGGCTCGCGAGAGGTATGGCTGGTGGACTCGGTTGGAGCGGCCTAAGGAAGCTCCATTTGCGTGTTCGCGACGAGGTTGGTCCAACTCCTGCGTGACGCGGCCGAGAGGGTCCCGCGCTGCCACGTGCGGTGCCGGACCGATGCGCTCGACAGGTGGCGCCGTTGCCAGGGATGACGAAAGCCTACCGTTGTCATTGGTGGAACGACATCCGGGTATGAGAATGAGAAAGAACTAGGCACGTGAGCAAATGAGAGAAGAACAATGAGATGGATCGTACAGTAGTCTATATGGCTGTGTGGGTGTGAATGTTGATCTGCTTGGTGGTTCGACTGATGGCATGAACGAGGTGAGTATGTGAGTGAATTCTGTGATGAGAATGGGTCCTACTTAGGTGAACCCAAGGGAGGTAGGAAGTAGAGAGAGAGATGCCTGCCAGGTCCAGAGCGTCGGGTGCTTAGGTGGTCGGTCGGATAGGGTCGTGAAGGAATGGACTGCTAAGTGGAACCTTTCGTCCTATCGCTTCTTATAACAGGGGGATCGAAGCTGAAGGCATTTGATCAAAATGCCTGAGGAGATGGTGGACGGTGGGAGAAAGCTTGTAACGCTCGACGACCTCATCGATGCCCTGGATAAGCGCGAGAGAGCGCCGAGCAATGTCCCGAAGGTTGATACTTTCCACTTCAAGGGAGAACGGGTGTCCGACTGGCTGGACCTGACGGGGCAAGCACTGGTGGGGCTGTCGGACGAGGTCAAGCTCCAGCGAGTTCTAAGATATGTCCTTCATAGCCACCATCAGGAAGTGGGCAAGGTCGTGGATGCCGCCAATGGTAGTTGGGCGAGGTTCAGGGACATGATGCAGAGAAAGTACAGGTTGGGGGATGGCTTGTTAACCATGGCGGATTTGGAGGCCATGAGCAAGGATGACTTCTCCACGATTGGGGCGTTTGTGCACGAGTTTAAAAGGAAGGCGCGGAAGGTGCACGGGATCTTCAAAGTCTGCTTACTGGCTCGGAGGCCTCGGAGCTGACGGGTCACGGAGGGGGAAATGAGAAACTCACCTGGGCCACTATCGACAGAGGGGTGGAAGAGGGGAGCCTGGACCAGGTGGAGCAGCACCAGGTGCGGCTGCAAAGGCGCAAGAGAAAGGAAAGGGACGCCACCGCGTCCGGGACCCCAGGGGTGAAGAGGATCGTCACAGACGTATTGGCAGCGTTGGGGTATGATAATTAGGCGGAAGTGCAAAAGAGGGGAGTGATCGTGGCCCAAGGCCGGGCGTCGGGGGTAGTGGAAGAGGAGGCTAGGTGCGAGGACTATGGAGGAGAAGAGACGGGCTCCCAGATCCTAACCAAGGCCCAGAGGAAGCAGCGGAATTTACAAGTGGGGGGTCAAGGATCCGGAAAAGGGCAGGTCCCGCAAGCGATTGCTGCGCCGCCACCTGCTGCCACGACAACGTCAGCGATGGCCGGGTCGTCATGTATGGGGCCACCGCCGGCTTGTGGGCATTGGGTGCCGCATTGTCAGCCAACGTCCTGGCCCAGTTGTAATCATTGCGCCTCGTGCGGGGGTAGTCAGACTCAGCCCGGGCAAATGGTCCCTTATGCGGGCCCAGCGGCAAGTATGGGGCCCCCGAGCTACCCTGCGGCTCAGGGTCAGTTTGTGGCCCAACCACCTCCCTCCCAACTGGCCTCGCAGGTTAGCGTGGCCGGTGGAGGAAACCAGAACAAGGCGGACAAGGCAATGGAGGCCGAGGTCAAGGGGGTCGAGGGGGTGGCGGCCGAGGCCGGGGAGGAAATGATGGGGGTCGTGGAGGTGGTTGGAATGGTCAAAGGGGCCAGAACCAAGGTGGCCGGGGCGGCCAGGAAGGGGGCCAAGGGTATGGGAGGCCCCGCTTTGATTGGCGAAATGCCACCTGTTGGCATTGTGGCGATGTAGGCCACACTGTGCGGTTCTGTGAGCGACGGCGGGAGGATGAATTGTCAGGATTAATCTCCTCCTGTATGGACGGGGATATATATGACAAGTGGGGTGAGCATATCGACCCCAGGACCCCGGGAGGAATCAGGCAAGAGGCTCTCCGGCGAGCAGCAGCGGGACCCACAGCACCCCCGACAATGTTTAGGATGTGGCAGGAGAAGGAAGAACCGACCGTAAGAGTCGAGGAGATTGTAGCGGATAGTGAGGAGGTCACTCAGCGACTAAAGGCGGGGACTATAAAGGAGGAGCCAATAGTCGTCGAATCGGATGACGAGGGGCAGAAAGGGGAAGGAGAGCCGGCCATAGTCCTCCTGGGAAGGATGGAAGATCTGCTGGAAAAGGTGGGAAGGTACCAGTGGAAGTTGCAGGCCTTGTGTGAAGAAGCCCGAGAGTGGGAGGCCAATCTGCCTGAGGTCTTCCTCTACGACTCTGGACCTGAGCCTTCGCCAGGACAACAGGGGTACCCAAGAGTGGCGACCGTAGGGACGGGCCCTAGGTCAGGTATGGCCTATAGACCCCCCACGTCGCATGGGAGGGTGCCGCAAGCGGCTTGGACTAGGAGCCAAAATAAGACTGGGCCTAGTCAAGAGCCCAGTCAGGCGCCCAGTCAGGCACCCCCTCGAAAGGAGCCGGAGCCTGGACGTAGGAAGGAGGTGGTGGAGGTTCCGGAGGAAGAGGAAGAGGATGACAATGAAGAGGATGAGAGGCTCCGACAAGAGGAGGATCAGCGGGCGAAGCTGAGGGCCAAAAAGAGGGGGGCCCAGGAGGAGGCCGAGCCAAGCCTTCCCGACAGCGTGACTAAGAGGAAGAAGTACGCGGTCCGGATGGAGGAAGGCTTTGATGTGGAGCGGATGGTGGACAAACTCCTGGAAGGCCATAATGACTTGATGAACCTAAAGGACATCCTGGCTTCGGCGCCAAAGCTCCGTGGTGAGTTGAAGGGACGACTGTCGCGAAGGCTGGTGCCAAATGTCCATCTGAGTACTGTCCTGCCTAGAGAGGTGGAGTGGACTGAGGCAGGGACAAGGATGGATTGGAAATGTGTGGCGTGCGGGCAGGTGGATTTGGTGATAAGGAACCAGAAAGTACTGGGATGGTGGATACGGGCGCAGAGATGAACATCATCAGGGAGAAGGAGGGGGTGATGATAGGCATGGAGATCGACCGCTCGGACCATGGCATGCTGCACGGCGCTAACTGCAAGGCCGCCTTTTGCGGCACAGCGTCAAATATGATTATAGAGATTGGGAAGGTGCGAGCCAGGACTTGGTTTTTCGTTATGCCCGATGTCGATCACCCCATCCTTCTGGGGCGGTTGTTCCTGTGCCGGACGGAAATGTTGATCTTCAACAAGCACGACGGAACAATGATCCTGCTCCTGTGCGACCTGGCGTGTGGGAATTATGAAGTTATCACCTGCCGGAACACGAGGCCGGGGAGCGGGAGGAATAGGCCCAATCTAGGCTCGTTCACCTTTGAGGAATCAGAGAACGAGCGGAGACGGCTTTGGGAAGTGCCCGAGGAGGAAGATAAGGCTAAGGTGCTGACACTGAGCCTCACAGATGTCAATAAGGCCATGGAGGTGGTGTCGGCTCATGACATGGCGGATCCGAAGGCCATTAAGGCATTGCGGGAGCAGGTTTTGGAGAACCCTCAAGTGGGAGAGGTGGAGTTGGTGTATCGGCTTTCAGGAGGGGGAGGAGGCCCTGCAATAGCCCAGGCCCGAACGACAAGTCGGCCTTTTTTAGGGGAGGGCTTTAGCAGGGCTCCCAAAGGCGGTACAAAACCGTAGATAAGAAGTGTCGCCCAGTTCCCGTGCTCGTCACGGACGATGAGGAAGCCTACTACGAGCGGGAACGAGGATTGATACGGTGTATGCGGGAGCACGCGTTGGCTGGGCCGTGCCGTATCAACGATGAGAATGAGGGGAAGTTGATAATCGGGGAGCCCGACTTCCTGTCGCCCCAGGAGAGAGCGTTGATGGTGGGACTGATGAAGAAAAGGCACCGTGCGTATGCGTTCAATGACGACGAGCGTGGGAGGCTAGATGTGGATAAGATTCCGATGATACGAATGCACACTGTTCCACACGAGCCATGGAATCTAAGGGGCGCACGATACCCAAATACGGATGAGGAAAAGAAGGTGGTGGACTACCTGGACGGCAAGATGCGGACGCACGTGGCCGACTATTCCAGTGGACCGTACGTGTCGCCTTGGTTTTGTTTTATTAAACCAAATGGGACGCGAAAGTGCGGGACGAGGGAGGATTGTCGAACGCGGACGCATTGTTAGAATCGTGCGCAGGGAGGCCTATAATCTCGCTTATAGACCTCTACTCGGGGTATGACCAATTCCCCGTATACCCGCCAGACAGGCCCGTAACGGCAATGCACACTCCCAGAGGGCTGATTCATATGAACGTGGCGCCCCAAGGTTGGACGAATGCAGTGGCGATGGTGCAAAGGCATATGATCAAAGCCATGCAGACGGTTAACCCACATATCACTCAACCCTATATGATGACCTGGCGGTCAAAGGTCCGAAGGAGAAGGAGGAAGACGAAGTGATGCCCGGTGTGCGGCGCTTTGTCTGGAAGCATGTCCAAGACATCGATCAGGTTATGGGGTTATTGGAGGAACATAACCTGACGGGGAGCGGCCCCAAGTCGAAACATTGTCTGCGGGAGGCCATGATTCTAGGCTTTGTCTGTAATGAGAGTGGGCGAAGGCCTGATGTAAAGAAGACAGACAAGATTCTTGAGTGGTCGGTGCCCTTCCGCTCGATAACAGATGTGAGGAGCTTCCTTGGGACGTGCGGATTTTGGAGGAGCTTCGTGAAGGACTTTGCCACGAAGACGGAGCATTTAAGGAAGTTTGTGCGCCAGGATCAAGAATGGGTGTGGGGCGAAGACCAGGAAGAGGCGGTCGGTAGGATGAAGGGAGAGTTTAAGGAAGGAGGCTTGGTATTGGGAGCGCCAAACTATGAGGCCATGGAGGACAGACCATTTGTCATTGAGACGGACGCTGGGCCAACTGCCTTGGGAGGAGTCCTGATTCAGGCGGATACTGAGGGGAAAGAGAGGCCGCTAAGATTCGAAAGTCGTACCCTCAATACAACTGAGAGGAACTACTCTCAGTTCAAGAAGGAGACGCTGGCGGTACTTCATTGCCTAAGGACCTTCCGGAACTATGTTTTTGGCAGGAGGCTCATCTTGAGGGTGGACCCTACTGCACTGGCATGTTCCCTGAAGAATTATACTCCATCTGACCCAACTGTCGCAAGATGGTTGACCTACATTTGGATGTTTAATTTCGAGCTGGAAAGGATCCCAGGGAACAAGAACAGGGCAGATGGGTTAAGCCGCATCAACGTGGACGGATCGGACAAGGAATCGATAGAAGACACACCGCTAGTTGATGGGTTTTTGGATCAAGAGGAGGACGTCCGCCTGCACATAAACGAATGGTCCCTGCGAATGCCCAGTTGCGTCAGTCACCCCATATCGCTGGCACCAAAGGGGTACGAGCAGAAGGAAGAGTTAGTCCTCAAGCCCTTTCAGGAGGAGGATCCGTGGGGAAGTAAGGATGTTGGTTGGATGATGAAGTTGGCGTTGGCAGGAACGCACAGTCTGGTGGAGGAAGTGAGGACAATAGAGGAAGGCCCCACTCAGGTAGAGGAGCATGAGCAGCTAATGGGAGGGATGTACCTGCTCACCAATACGCTCCTGCAGGGAGACTTCAACCGGAAGGGCTCGTTCAGTCACGAGGAGAATGAGATTCTGGTTCCTGAAAGCCGAGACGACGAATTCGAGGAAGGAGAAATCAAGGAGGCGTTTCAGGCGGAGGAGTACGACGGGATCTACCGGGAATTGGGGTTGCTCCTATCATGTGAGATGAGGGATAGAGATGCAAGTGCCAAGGCACAGAAGATGAGGCACCTCTATGTGGTAAGAGACGGCCACTTGTTTATAAAGCGGCAGGTCGGGAACCCCAAGAGGATCGTATGTGGGAGAAACCGGCAAATTGATATCATAGCGGCCCTACACGATGGTATAGCAGGGGGGCACAGAGGAGTAGGTGCCACATGCGCGAAGATAAGCGAGCTCTACCATTGGGACGGGATGCTGACGATGGTTATCAAATACTGTCGGTCCTATATACCTTGCCAAGAGAGGTCAGCGCAAAGGACTGGAGAACCCCTACACCCAAAAGGTTAGAAAGGGAAGTGGGTGCGGTCGTACACCTGGACCTGCTATTCATGCCAGCACGGGAGAATGGGTGTAACTACATCTTCGATGCACGGGATAACCTTACTGGGTTTGTGGATGGACGGGCTATCCGGACGAAGACTGGTCCGGTTTTGGCGAACTGCATCGAGGAGTATTACCTGCGATACCCTTTTGTCAGGGAGTTTGTGATGGATCGAGGATCAGAGTTTACCTGCAATGAGGTGAGGACGTTGCTTGCAGGGTATGGCGTAGTGGCCAACTATACTACGGCCGCACACCCTCAAGCGAACGCTCCTGTGGAGAGGGGGCACAGTACCATCACGAATCTCCTGGCTAAGTGGACAGAGGGCAAGCCTAGTCAATGGCCGAAGTTCCTATGGGCAGCTTTCTTCGTGGAGAATGTTACTATAAAGAGGACTACCAAGTATGCGCCAGCCACGCTATGGTACGGGAGACATGTCACCTTTCCCATAGAAAGCTTTATGAAGACGTGGAGGCGCCTGGACTTGGAGGTAAACCTGTCTTTCGAAGAACTGCTCGATATTTGGGCGCGGCAAGTGGGGGCGGCTCCACTTGCCGAAGAAAGATTGCGAGAGGCCACTTGTCAGGTGGAAAGGAGTCGCATGGAAGATAAGATGAGGTGGGACCAGATGACACGAGTAAGAAAGGAGTCATTGGCAGTAGGGGATGCCGTATTATTATACGACTCCTCTTTGGAAAAGCAATGGTCGAGGAAGCTTGACAAGAGATGGTTGGGCCCCTATAGAATATTGCGATGCGGCGAATTTGGGGCCTATCAGATGGAAGAGCTGGACGGGACAGGCTGGCARGATTGGGTATCRGGRACCAGGCTGAAGARGTTCGTGGCCAGGGAATAGGTAAAGAATTCTACCTTTCTCAGAGTAGACTGGTCCTTGAGGTATCGCATGTTATGGTCAGGACAGGTGAGGGAGTAGGAAAAGGCATGTGTGTTGTCATAAAAACTTGATGAACCGAGGGCTAACCTTGTTATGTGCCTACTTGCTTTCTCTCGCCTGTTGTGCAGGTCTGACTTTTCGAAGACAGCCATGCAGAGGGGCGGGAGGGGCGCGCGGTCACGACAGGGGCCTCAGGGAGCATCAGGACGGGATGACTCGCGCAGACCGGTTGGGAGGGAGTCTACACCTATCTTCGACGACGGTAACATAGAGCTTTTTCTGGACTCCTACCAGGCACATGCGACACGGGAGGGCTGGTCTACCTTGGAGAGGATACGACATCTGAGGGGAGTTGGTCGCTTCGAGGAGCCTATTGTGCACATTCGAGAGGAGGCGTTGACATGGCAGGATGTGGAGGCGAGGATGCAGATGCTGAGGGCTTCGCCGATGGGACCGAATGGATTGCCTATTTGATTGGAGGAAGGCAATGCGGAGGAGTTCATCCCGGCCTATGAGCAGTATATGCGCGACCAGGGGACTGGGCAGGAGGAGTGGATGCAGATGTTGCCCCTCTGGACACGGAGGGCGGAGAGGTCGTTGGCAAGGCAGATCCGGAACAGGGCACACGACTGGGAGGACTGCCAGGCCCAGTTGAGACAGGCATTTCGACGACTGGAGCCCCAGAGACCAGAGCCCAGGGTGGAGAGACGACAAAGGAGTAAGAGGCCACGAGGCCCAGAGGCGAGAGGGACCACTACGACCAGAGGGGGCCGAAAGGCCTTGGCACAGCGAGAGGGGCCAGCAGAGGCCGCCCAGGCGGTGGAGCCAGTTCAGGCCGCGGAGCTACCCCCTACCTATGGACTCGAGCAGGTGGAGTTTCGCCGAATCACGGGCAGTGATCTACGGGCCCCGTCGCCAACGTTACCAGAGGGGGGAGAGGCGGTGTCGTTGAGAACGCCGCTCGACAGGTTCGAGGCTCATCTCGATGCGTCCCAGTGGGGGGCGTCACAGCTCGGAGCGGACCAGAGCGGACCGGCACGGTATGAGCCAGTAGAGGATGAGCCAGAGGAGGAGCCACCTGAGCCGGGGCCTAAGGCGGGGTCTCGCGAACCCGAGGAGCCGCAAACTGAGGGGGTTATCACTGTTGGGGATGATACCCCTCCTCCTACCCCAATTCCAGAACAGGCGCGACAGTATTGGCCTGAAGGGATTCCTGAGCCGGACAGTGAGGAGATGTTGGGGCCTCCATAGGAAACTACGCCACCTCCGGCGCAGGCAGAGCCAGAGGAGGGCGAGAGGGCGAGGACACCTACTACTGTAGCCCCGCAGCTAACTGAGCCTACAGGTGCACGCATGGATGTGGAGGTGCTGACCCCCGGGGAACCTCCGCCAGGGCCGCCACCCGCAGAGGAAGGGACAAATGAGAGAGATCCACTGCGAGAGGGTCACGAGGCGAGGACAGGGAAGCCATCGGGGGAGACGAAAGAAGAGAAGCGCGCGAGGGTGCAGGTACGCCTCGAAGAGCTATACCAGGAAAAGCTTAGGATGGAGGCCGCAGGAGAAGCGCCAAAGCCGCCAATTGACCCTCCGATGAGCGAGCAGAGGATTAGTAAGGCTTGGGCCAGCTATGAGAGCGAGAGGGATGCGGCTCGCCTGAGGTCGCAAGAGGTAGGACAGGGGAGTGCAAGATTGGACGAGGCACGAGAGACAGAGGACTTGGGATTTTCAACCGCCAGGATGGAGATTGAGCGTGCAGATAGGAGGATAGGTGAGGTGGTGGTCTCGTCCTTCCAACTGTACTCCATGCTCCGCGATGAGTTGGCGGCCTCGAGGTTAGAGGTGGGACAGTTGTCCACCCAACTGGCGGAAGAGAGGGCAGAGAATCAAGCATGGAGGTCCCATATGGAAGTTAAGGAAGCGGAATGGGAGAAGAGGTTCCAGGACATGGCGGCAATGGTGGAGAGGCTCTCGGCCACTAAGGTGGTCGACTGGACGGAGCAAAGCCGGTATGGTATCCAGGGGGAGGAGGTACAGGGGCTCTTTGGCCGGGAAGGGACGACAGAGCCACCTCAGCAAGGAGGCATGGGGAAGGTATTCCTGGACCCAATAGAGGCGGCAGCACGACGGGAGGCTGAGGAGGGGAGGTTCATCTTCAGGACGCCCACGGAGTTGGCCTCGCGACAAGCCACCCCTATGACGGTTGAGATCCCTGAGGGCGAGCCGGCGCAGGGACCCCAACCTCCAGTGGAGGAAGGGGGCCCCACAGAGGAGTCCCCTACGATCCTTTTGGAGGCGCAGGAGGGTGCCCTTACGGGAGCAGCAGCATCCACTGAGCCGGAGGCAATGGGGGGAGAGGCGTCTCGACTGGATGAGTTAGTGGCAGCTATGGAGTTGGACATGCCGTCAAGAGAGCCTCAGAGACAGAAGACCCCAGAGCGTGTGCCAGAGATAGGGGAGCTGAGGACGCAGTTAGGCTCTTTGGCTACTGGAGCTGACTCAGGAGAGCACATCTAAGAGCAGCAGCAGGAAGTTATGAGCGAGCCAGCGACTGCCGTGACTCCACAGCCTTCTGACTTGCATAGGGACGAGGGGGCGACTGCGATGGGAGGAGTCCGTGAGGGTAGGCCACTGAGATTGGACACTCCAGCGTACCGACCCGAGGGAGGTGAGGCGCTAGCAGGGCCGAGTACCCAGATGATGGAGGCGGGGCCGGCAGAGTCATGGAGTATGCCCCAGAGCCATGAGATGAGCAGGGAAACTAGCGAGACGCCGTCGTTGCCTGGGTCCCAGAAGAAGAAGAGGAGGTGTCGAGGGAGATCAGACGATCAGTGCTTCTTCTGCAAGGACGGCGTACATAGAGCTCTTGAATGCCCGAAGTTCCTTAAGGACAAGGCGGCTGGGAGAGTAACAGAGAGTGGTGGGAGAATGTACGACAGGCAGGGGCGAGTGGTAGAGCGGGCGCCAGATGGGGGTAGGGCACAGTTATATAGACAGAACCAGGAGGCTATGAGTGAGTAGGGACTGGTCCGTCTATATGACAGTAGGATTAGAGCTCCTCTGTACACAGAGGCCGTGATAGGGGTGTACATACTCTGAGTTAGTCAGGTGAGTCCCGTCTAATTGTATACACATAGGTGGTGGTGTGTGATCGGCTTGAGCTTTATGTGTGATGCGGTCTAGGGAATGAGACTTAGTTGTATGATATCTACGACATACGTGACTTGCATTTTCAGTTGTGTGATTCAGATACTCTTACTTGTATCTTTGAGAAGGTTATGAGAGTCCATGACACTTGGGACGTGAGTTTATCCCGCGGAGTGAGACAGTGGAGTGAGTATATGAGTGTTTTCGGGGCAGGCATTTTGTTCCCAAATACACCCTACGAGTTGTGTGTTGAGTGTTTGAGTTGAGTGTCATATTGAGACTTGAGGGAGATATTTTGCTCCCGAGTATATCTTTGATTCCAGACTCTGTGAGACTTATTCTTGTGACGATCACGATCACTCTCACACGTGTGGCTTTATCCCAATGAATGAGGGCTTTGTGTGAGAGATGTGTGGGATACATCTCATGTATATGTATTGTGTGATTGTGATTGCCGTCTACTCTTCGGTATACTCGTGCGGCCTGCCCATGGGCGGGTGGAACAGTCGGGTATAAGAGGAGGCAGCGCGGTCGTTTTTGTGACAGATGTACGAGGACCCTGAGGGGTCTTGCGAGCCTATAAGGCTCGGATGCTTACCATGCCGAATGTTTATGGCTGAGCTGTGAAGGGGACCCATAAGTTGGCCCCTTAGTTTGAGTTGTTTTGTGTTTAAGTTGGGGAGACGGCCCATAAGAAGGCCCCTCAGTTGAGTTGTTCTATAATTGAGACCCCCTCGGATTATGGAAGGTGGGGATGCTGTTTATTGACAGCAGTGTAACCCAGGTCGCGTGATACTCCATCCTGTAAAGAGAGGGGTGGCTTGGAGACCTGTTGAGAGAGACCCCCTTCATGTGAAAAATGGGTGATAGATTTAAGGACATGGTAAGCAATGTTTGAATGATAAAGTCTGACGAGAGGAACCAGGGTGATGAGTTGGAATCATCGGTGGAACTGAGAAGGTCGCAAGTCAGTGCATAAAGATGTCGTGGGATGTGTGGTCTGCTGTCTCTGATCAAGTCAGTAGGCCACAGCCTCGTGTGAGCCCAGCGGTGAAATTGTTTGTGATTGTGAGAAGGGGCCGTGCCCTCTATGTTGTCCCATAAGGGGCTGGTAAATACCCTTAAAAGTAGGGCAGATCCCTGCATTGTCCCGCAGTGGCCCTGTAAGTTTGTTTTGCGACGCACCGCCTAGACACCTGTGCTAATCCTAAGGCATATTAGGGAATACCAAGCTAAACGGTAAAGGTTAGCACCTCTAGGGAGCAACCCCTATTGGATGGCTGCAAGCCAGCACAACCTGGTTGCGGGCCCGCGTCTACCCACGGAATAAGAGTTCAAGGGGTTATGCATGCCTCAGAGAAATTACTCCGGTGGGATGGCGGGGGATACGGTCGAGTCGTTCGAGCGCCCTGATTGAATGCTCACCAGGAGAAAACCTATCGTTGCATAACCAACGAAGGGACTGCCGCTAAAATAACAATGTGGCGGGCCATAGATCTGGCTCGATCAACCAGACTATGGTGGGCCAAGATTGGAACCTAGCCTTTCTGTACTAGGCTGCAGAAAGGGTTGAGAGGAGATTTACGTATGTATATATATGTTTGATTGTGAGGACTTTCGCGAGGGAGGCGAGAGCGCCTTCTGAGGTCCCGGCTAAGGCCCGCGTCCCCGTATGACTCTGCTTACGAAAGAGAGTCTAACTGGGACACCCAACGAAAAGTCGGCGTTTGTCTAGGACGAAGGGAAAAGGACAGCTTGAGGTGGCCTTTGGAACCTATGCTGTAGTATTGATGCGTAATACACCTGCGTCCTAGCGTCAGGACACTGGAAACCCAGGTTGAAACCCTGACAGCATATAGTTATGTCGACATGGAGTGTTGGAGGCCTCAACCCTGAGTCTGTCGGCTAATCGGATTGGTTCCATTCTCGTCAGCATTTGGAGTGTGGATGAATTTATAGCTTCTGGTTTGGCGTAGCGACGGGGACGTCGCTTAATATAGTCCGGTAGGCTGTCGGCGCGAATACCCTTACAAAGGTATCCGCCCTGGTTTTTGCAGATGACAGGGAACAATGAGTTTGGTCGAAATAAGTTGTGCGAGGCACGATCGCGTCCGAGACCCGCCTTGGTTAAGTAAGGAGGGTATGTGGGCGCGCAACTTTAAGGCGCGCGTGTGATTTTTCAGATTAAGTGAGCGGCCGATCTAGTCGACCGGCCTGGACCGTGCTACGGTTTTGTTTAGGGGATGAAGGCTCGTTTTTGGTTGGCATGCGCGATCGACGGTAAGATTGGCACACCGGTAGGCGCACGGGGCGGCCACGGTGCGGTCTAAGTAGGCTGGCGCGGGTGCCTGGTGTTGGCACGCCGGCCGCGGGTGGGAAAGGAAGGCCTAGGCGGATGCTTCTAGGCCTAGGGACGGCGCGACACCACTTCATATGGAAATTCGCGCTCCATGGTACCAGGTTTGGGCTTAGCCCTATTGGTTACGACATTGGATTTTCGCTATAGAGGTACCGGGATCGAGGCCAGCGGGCATCGGCGCGGCAGCAGCAAAGCGTTGTGAAGAAAACTGAGAGGGTTGAGGGCCCGGCGGGGCTATCCCCCCTCGGTTTTGATAGTAGGGGCAGTGACGGGCCGGCCCCACGGGACCGATGGGGTTTTAACGGTCTCTGCACCCCTGCTCGAGATTTTTTGTTTTTATTTATTTCTCTTCTTTAAATTACCTCTGGCTTTTATCTTATTTTCACTTATTTTCATTATTATTTGGGGGGCCGTTTCGGTTGAGGCGCGGCACCACGGCTGCAAGCTCAAGTTTGGAAAGCCGCGAGTGAGATACTACCGCGGCTACGTCCTTCGGGACATCCGTTAAAATTGGGACGATACACGGAAGACCAGCATCTGCCCCTACGAGTGGATGAAATGCATAAAGCGGAGGGAGTGGGTCGGTTGCTGTTGAGTAGTACCCTAGCCAGAGCAAACCTGAGCGAAGTGAGCTCGGCGCATATATAGCGAAGTGAGCTCGACGCAGATATTGCATCGGCAGCAGGCCACGAGGTAGCGGGCGCACTGAAGGAAGGGGAGAACGAGTCGAATGAACCTGGGCGACGAATCGCGCCAGGTGCATTCAACGAAGGTGGTGGTGGATTGGCAAAGAGGCAGACCGTGTCGGGTTAGCGCAGGACAAACGCGGTGCAGCGRAGCRGCAGACTGYGGGGCGACGRTCGGGCCGGGCATAGCAGCGAAAGCGGGGACCGAGGAAGGAATGGGCCGGGACACGAAACTGCGCTCGGTGCATGYGCAGTGGAAAGGGAATCGGGTGGAGCGAAGGGGGGGGGTAAGAGAGAGACGCTCACCTCGCCTGATTCTTGGCCAAATCAGACGAGGGGTTATGCGATTCTAGCATTTCGGAGGYGGGCGAATCCGTTGGCGTGGTCGGATCTTGCGGAGAGATGGCGGATTTGGTGCTAGGAGAGGTGCTGGCCGCGCGGAGGTAGCGTGATGGCAGCTATGGCGGAGGTAAGAACAGTGTAACTCGCCCATTTCTTACTGGAATCGGGCGGGCCAAAGTGCTGGATGGGGGTTTTAGGGCCAGGCGAGCATGATCAGGTGGTTAGTTTGAGTGAMGAATTAGAGGGAGAAGAGGTTAGTAAAGAAATGGYTGYGCTGAGCTATGGCGAACAGACACATGGTGAAGGGAGAGGATTGAAATCTCTCTCGATTCTAGGAGGAATCGCGTGAGAGAGAACTGTAAGTTGGGGTTTTGGGGTGTTGCGATCGCGGGGGTAGCGTTAGTCTTGGTAGTAGGYGAGTAAGARGGAAGTTAGTCGGGAAATGGGYTGCGCCTAGAAGGGGGRGACTGCTTGTAAATGTATAATGAATACTTCCGCCTTTTAGCGRAAGATTCATTTGATTCGTTCCAGCCATTTTCGTGGGGAACGGATACTGCAGGCAGGCAGCAAGAGTGGAGACTTACCCCTTTACCGAGTGCGYTGATCCTGCTGTTAGCGGGAAAGCTCGCTCCCTCTACCCTGCGCATGTGTACGAGAGGTTGTGCATCTGACTGAATTCCTGCGGAAGATCCAGGTGGTCGTGCTCGACACTCCTATAGACGCTACGTGAGGGGTACGGGCGGGACTGGAGGCTTACCTGGTGGGCGGCAGCTTGGTCCGGGGTGTCTGTGCCGCCTGGAGGCAGCGGCGAACGCTTGTCGGAGTGATCCCCTGGCTYAGTGGGCAGCGGTCCGCGGGATCCGAACGAGGTGTGAGCTGGTCATGTGTTTTGCTGCTCCGCTGACCGTGCCTGCCGCGGTTGCCGCGCATGCACCAGTGACTGGTTGCCTGCTGCTATTGCCCCTGTCACTGGCTGTGCTGCTCCATTTCTGAGTTGGTCGTGGCCCGTCAGGAGGGAGGGGGCAGCGATTGTGCTTGTTGCG